AACCATGCAATTTCAACGTAAAACTGCAACAAGAAATATAACAATACAATGAAATACAATATAGGAAAATCGAAATTACATCGGATAACAAAACGTATCAAAGTATACGAAATCAGTCTATCCCGATACAATACTGGTAATACCATAGTGTATATAATATGTTGACTAAAATAACGTCTATGACACCAAACCAACTATACTCCTTCACAGTACTAAACAGTAACCACAAAATACTGACACAAAATACTAATGTCAAAATAAGCACAGTAGATGTAAGGAAATCATATCGCTAAATATTACCAATAGCAATACAATACTGTACACATACTGGGTACATATGCTGGTAATAGCAAGTACACAATGTCAGATTAATACTACAAATGTCTTACAAAATGCTGTGCATAGATCTACAAAATCACAATAGCTCCCTACTACATACGTGCATGTATACAACCTAACTATAATAGGAAATACGAATAGAACATGCTCGGTGGCTAGCTACTGTTTATACAGACATTGGAAATACGTGTGCTTTTGACAAATGCGTCATACAGTCTACCGATCGCCGACTCATAGAAAGATCATACGGCTACAAATTACACTGTGAAAGTAACAATGGCTTGGAATAACAGACAATACACTAATTCTACTAACCTCAGTACGTAAAAACATGGTAAAAGATACAAATACGTGTAGTTTTGATCTCGCGCTGCATTCACTGTTTATAAACAAACCGCCATTAGAACGAATTTCACTGAAGTCACATTTGTACAAGATCACGCAAAACTACGCGAGAGTTGAGTGAGAGTTAGCTTAAAATAAATTTAGAACTGTGTTCGTTACAATGAATAGAAAGAAAAAAAAAGTTCAGGGCAATATATAGTTGGTGTTTAAATGAATTAAATAAATTGACAAAAACGCACATTATACTCCTCTAATATTTCAACTTTTTACCTTGTCTGTATCATCATCATCTGTAGATGAAAGGCAAGGTATACGAGAGGAAAAGGTCAGTCCTTGTTGTTGTAGTCGTAGTTAACTCTGTCGTAAAAAAGTTTTTATCCAATTTATTCAATCTTGGCCAAGTTATATTTTCACTTAAAATTGTCTTCTTGTGGTTTACAATAACTCAAACAATTTGATCTGTCTGATTATCTTCAAATTTGGAATTCGTATCAATAGACCATTTTTCGTTCACTGCGAGAATCACGCGTTATGCGTGATATCGAACGTAAAAACAGGACAAACAAAGGTCATAGCGTCAAAGTCGCGTCAAACATCGCGTGGGATTCGACAAACGCAAAAGAATTTCGGGG